CCACAATTGCGGCAAATCATAATGGCCGGAATGCCTCTCACACCCCATTCCTAACACCTGTTTTACTTATAAACTAATTATTTTTCACTTTCGTAAACGAAAATTGTAAATATTGTACCAAAACTACTACACATTTTAATAACCAAAAAAATAATTTATTTTCAAAACACATGACTTATTATTATTATCATAATTATTATTGACTAAATTAAGGAAATAAATAATTTTATAATTAAATTATTGTATATTTGTTGAAGACATTTAAGCAATTGGTTTGATGAAATTAATGAAATAATAAAACAATTTATTTAAGATTAAAAAAAGTATAGCATTTTACGGCTAGTTGATATAAAATAGTTACCATAATTGTGTAACCGGTAAAACATAATTTAAGTTCACACTTTAACATCTACAACTTTTAAATGGTTAATACCATTTGATGGATTAGTCATAAACAACATATTTTATGTTTCAATTTTTCCGGTTATAAGTGGTGATTGTGGCCAAACCCGAAGTCACATGAAGTATACCACTAAACTCCGTATAGACTCTATACGGACTCTATACACATTGTGTACCCATTAAATCCACTTTTCTATATTAAATAAACTTTTATTAAAATCAGTCAATCTGTTTTCATATAATTGCCAGATATATGAAATTGTCTTACAGTATATGATAATGCAAAAGTTGATCTCTTGTAGAAAGAGTCGGTACGGCACACCTTTTGACTGATTCAGTGACATTCAGTGTTTGTAAATCGGGTGCGATTGTAAACAAATCATTTTAAAAGAACACATTTTGTAAATATTTATTCATAATTGACTAAAAATTGGTCTTATTTTTAGACAAAATATATAAAATGTAAATTAAATATGAATTTATAATAATGTGATGAAAACAATGAGGTAATCATGTGTCCGATTAATTGGCAATCAATCATCAGTTCTTTGTCTAACACTGCGATTGGAATCAGTTTTTCGTTTTTTAAAACTAATTTTCTCCTCTTTCTTAACGCTTGAGTTAAACTTGTTTTTAAGCGAATCCACAGTTTTCTCCGAGAATTCAATCTTCACTTCTCTGTCGTTGTCGGCGACAATCGGCGCAACAATTTGTGGCAACTGTTGGTCCGGAAGCTGTAAATCAATCATTTTGTCGTCAAACTCTCTGTTGGCCACTGTTTTCCATCTGCCGTAAGGATTGTACGGACCGGCCGGCAGTGGATCGCAATCTGGCGTCACATCTGAACTGTATTTCTGCTCTTCGACCGAAAGGAATCCAGACTTGGGTTCAGTCCATTTGGTCTCTAAACAAATGGCAGAATATTATTAAACGATAAGACATTCAACGGTTGATATAATTAGTACCGAATGTCTCTTTATTCACGTAATATGTCTTCCCTTCGGTTGTCTTTCTCTC